ATATTTTTTCGGGAAAAAGAATGAAAAACAGTTTAATATCTGGCCAGCGGGACGTCAGAGGGCGACCAATTTCTATATTTTCTGGTACCAAGTGCACGATTTTGGAGTATAACACAAAATCTTGTCTTTGTTTGCTCCTTGTTGGCATAAACAATTAAAGCACTATATATATATCACAAAATCGCGTCATAAGCCGTAACATCATCAAAATGATAGAAATGGTTAAAATGAAAGGATTTCTTACGTTTATTATTTTTCTCCTTTCACTCCGCTTCGTTAGTACACAATTTACGGTGGTTCGGGATTTTCATGAAGTAAATAAAAAGGAACATTTGAGTCATGCTTCAAACTATAGAGTAGCGAATTGATTTTTATCAATATAATTTCCAGACTCAATAATTGTATAAAAACCTTTATCCATTTATATTAGTCTATTTAGCAAAAAAAAAAAAAAAATCAGATTTAAAAGACAGTTCCTTTTTGAGCTTTATTAATATTATTACCGGGAACAGTTTTGTGTGAAACATCACTGCTTATTAAATATTTTGCAAAAAATAATACGTTCATTGAAGTCTGAAACGTCACTGAAAGCACTCGCATATCGCAATACAAAATGTGATCTCTACAAAAAAAGCAAACAGAAAATCACCATCACGGAAAGTAAAATTAAACAAAGTAGAGGAAAAGTCCTGTATGTCATAACTTTGAAAATTTAAATCAAGTTCTAAAAAATGAGTGAGTAAACACATTTAATTTAGTAAGTGAGTTGGGGTGGATAAATGTCATTTATATTTAGAAAAATCTGGGTTGATTACAAAGTACATATCATCGAAAAATTTGCAAGCATTTAGAGAAAATTTTATGTTAAGTAGTATTGGTATTTATTATGGAGTTAAGCCATGCGTTATGATTCATACATGTAGCAGTAATAATTTGACAGTAACCTTTATAATTTAAAAACGAAAATAAATATCATTATGCAAATATCTGATGGCTGAATTAGTTCTAAGTATGGTAAATTAATGTATATTTTATTTATAAATTTTATTACAGAAAAGTGAACTGTAACGACAACAACAGATATAGGAGGGTCAGGAAGGGGACCCTTAATTTCTGTATTGTTTATTTTTAAGGACATTTTCCTGTATTCTTTATAATTTTTGCAAATTTTTCTCTATTTTTTATATTTTGGCACCCCATTATTCACTATTCTTTTTTTTTTGTTTGCTAATACTTTTTTCTATTCTTTATCTTTTTTGCATTTTTTTCTGCAGATGTGGCTCATCATTTTCTATTCTGTATACCCCAACCAGACCCTTATATATTCATATCAAGAATTATAAAAAGACCCTTTTTTCGTTTGATAAAATTTTGTGGTACTGGTGATCCGACTATACGGTATGGGTTTTTCTCATTGTTGAAGGCCGTACAGTCACCCTATTATTGATAACATCCGCTTCATTTGAACTCTGGAGGATAGTTGTCTCATTAGCAATCATACTACATCTCCTTAATTTCATATGCTAGGCAATTTATAAATTTCAATTTATTACTACATTTATCCTTATCGAACTGATACATGAAGACTTAAAAACTAAAGATGAGGAATTTTGTTTATTCTTTATTTGGAGAAACTAGTATTATAATTTGGCCGTAAGAAAAATTCAACAGTAAGCGGATCGTTCACGTACAAGTAATTTGATTCAAATTGTAATGGAAAAGCTTTCGAGCAAATCCAATAATGCATAGCAAGCTATAAAAGGCCCCGACATGATAAGAGGGAAACTAGAAAACAAACTGCCTTATGTATGTACAGAACATTACAAGAGCATGCTAAGGTACCAGAGAAAAGCCAAGAGATTCATTCAAAGATATAAACGTCCGAAACTGTTTGAAAGCGAGAAATTATAATCATAGAATTGCTATGTTTCATAATAGTAATCGATAACGATAATGTTCCCCCTTTTCTTACTATTTGTTTACAAAACGATCGCAAAATATTCGTTTTTTTTTATATTTATTGGAATATTTTTTACAGTCCTTCACCTTTCATCTGATACCTTAATTACTAAAATATATGCTACATAGTTTAAGATTTACACCTATGCGTAGTGACTATTTTGCTTTAAATATGTACTACATTCCAGTATGTTCTTTTTTGACCGGGCCGGATAATGTGATGTTACGTCTTACAAAGTCTATCAAAATTATTTTTGCAAAGAATTCAAGTCAAGCCGGTGCTAGGGGCCGTCTTAAACTTGTAGCGAGGCGAGAGTTTTTTTTGCTCCGTGTAAAAGGCCTCACTGTGACTTTGAGATGAAGAACAGCAATGTGGCTGTGCATGTACTGATTTTGTGTCATGGATGGATACCCCCATATCCTTTTCTTTTCTATTAGAACCTCGTCTGCGTATTGCGGTATATATTGTGTTAGTATCAAAACCACATATAGCTGTGGTATTCGTATTCACCATGAGCGCCAGAAATCGTGTTGATATTTCCAACACGTCTGCTATACCAGTCACTAGACGAGTTCGAGTGTCGTGTTTTTTTAGGGTCTATACATCTTCAATACACCTTCTATCAACGATATGTTTTTCGTGTAGTTACAGATAAAAATAAAAATGACTGGAGGCTTGAGACGTGACTGTCTAACGATTTTTAAGATAGTTTGTGTTTTGCTCGCGGTGTTATTGGTTATTCATACATGTTCATACTCATACACGAAATATAAAAGGATGTAAAATAGGAACCGTTTTAAAAAGCAAGTTTATTTGAATAAATATCCAAATGCTCACATATTGAAGATTAAAAAAGAGTGTGCACATAACTTGTTTAATATACACATTTTCAACTATTTCCTTACGCTGTAGAAAATCAGACAAAATTTAATTACCAAAGAATATTGATAAAGAATAATCATATTTAACATACGACTAACATGCTATGTTATATTAACATTACTAGTGACGTTTTTTTTAAATTTTTTTTTATAATATTTCGTAAAGTTTATTTGTTTGAACTTTTAACTAAACAAATTTACTATTTGAAAACTTTTCATTTTTAATTTAAAATTTCTATGAAACAACAGACAACAAGCTTGGAAAGACATGTACTGTAACTGGAGATACAGCTAGTTATTGTGTAGTTGTGCCATTAATATAAGCTCCACCACCACTTTTCTTTCTTAACTGTGTATCTAAGTTACAGTACAGCAAATATCAAAGACAATACTGAACATCATTTCACAAGTGCTTAAATTGTATCGTTTATGGACCAAAACAAGAACAAAGATGTACATGAACATTCAGGTACTACTATTTATATAAACAAAACCCATAGATTTACTGATAATTACTGCAATGTGAATACGTCTGTTGGTATACAAGAGTGCTTGTAAAGCAGGTTAAGACTCCGAATGGAGACAGTTGTTTGATTTTGCCTTCGGCTTACCTTTATCGTAATTGTCTTTACCTATTGATTAAATTGATTTCATATACATCATAAAGAGGGAGCTTTCAGTGAAAATATCAATTTATAAATTTCGTGCGTTCGAAGCACTTTCCTTGATTTATACCCTCATCAGGAACGCTCAGACTTAAACATTTAAAATCTATGTAGGATGTATAAATATGCAAAACGTTACGACAAAAAAGAGCCGTTAAATTTAACAGTTACGCATTCCCATTCATCAAAAATAAAGTTGCAGATAAGGTTATTAAACAAACCTGCATTCTCTACATTCACCTTAGCATTATAAAATCGAATCCAGACGTTAGGAATTCAATATGTAAATTTGTCAACCTCCCATAGTAAACTTCCCTTTTCCAGGTAAAAACGTATTAAAGAACGCCTTACGGATATGGCAATTATATAATCCGAATTACATATTTAAAGGCTTGTGATAGGTTTGGTCAAGGAAAACTACAATTCGAGTTCAAGTACTGCCACTGGTTTGTTATTTTCTACTTAACTATAATTCGATTTCAAATTCGCAGTTGTTTCAGAATCTAAAGAGCTATGAAAATTTCGTTGTTCCAAACTGAAAATAGTGTCACGTCAATGTAGGAATTTTCTTTGTTTAGTACGTTTTTAAAAAAATAACAACGTTTTGGCTTAACGTGAGGGTACCTAAATTGCACCTATTTTGACAGTTTTTTCACCTACGCTTTTTTATGATCCAGACAAAAGTTTCCATTCTGTGTTTATTTTGTAGAGGTCACCTTATTTACTATATAGTTACACCAATTTAATTTTGAATCCATATTGAATCATAGAAAAATTGGTTTGAACCGACCTTCAAACGATCCATGATTCTGTAATGAGGAGTACCCAAATTGCATCCATGCTTTAATTTCACATCCTTAAAAATCGAATAACAGATGTTTTGTTTTATTTCTTCAAATATTTAGAACAATTTGACATAAGTCTATGCTTATTATTCATTTTTTTAAGAAATGGATGCTTGTATCATATTTTATTTGCTCATTTTTAAAAGATGACTTTTTGTGGACGTCGCATTACTTTTGCCAGTAAATACTTCAGCTGTTGATATATACTGTGAACGTTTTGTGTATATTTAAATATATTTACCTATGTTGAAAGACGTGTATAATGTCAAATCATAAAAACACAAATTGTTTAGTCTCAAAGAAAACTTGTAAGATTTCCGCTGCTATTTTTGCTGAAAAGGTACAATTTGGGTACTCGGTGCAATTTGGGTACTGTGACGTTAGATAGCTTCTTATTATGGAGTAAAAGTACTTGACATAAAACCCCCTTATTGTAACATGAATTTGACTGAAAAGCATAAATTCCATAGACAAAAGGCGTGTATACACTGCTTGCTCCTTTTAAAATGAATAATAGAAGTTTATGAATGTTATGACATATTATGAAATGCGTTAATATAGAATTTTTCATGAAGTCTACATGAAACTTTTTCTATGAAAGTGAATAAATGCACAAGATATTATTGTTTGAAAAAGGAAAACAACTTACGTTCATGACTTATTTGAATCAAAAGTATAGAAACATAACATAAACAAATCCAAATGTCCATTGTTTAAAGTAGGTAAAACTAAGGTATTTAATTGCTTAATAATTAAGATGATGAACATTTAGTAAAGAATTATAAATTCTATTCACGTACTAGCTACATGTACTACAACATGTGTGTAATTAATTTTATTCAAATATCTAGCTATAAAATAAGCAAAGAGACATCTATATTTTACATGATTACGTATTCAAATTTCATGTGAAAACAGCAGCCGTTTCGTGATCGTATATTCAATTTCCAAACGCCGTAAGCATCCAAATGGTGATTAACATTTTAGTAATTAGAAATAATGGATAATATTACATCAAATACGACTTAAAAGTACAAAACTAAAATGTCAAACGACATTAATAATTTCGCCGCTTTTATTAATTTATCACAAAGTTTTTCCAATATTTTGGTGTAAGTTTGGAATAAGATAGACTAGACTGGGTCCTGAACTTACAATTGTAATATTTTCATGGAAAGACACAATTCGTACAGTACTTTGCATTATCAATTAAGGAAAAATAACAGTACAATTGAGTAAAACACACAAAGTCATCTCACCAACAAAATACAACGTTTATCATATAACACATCTATTAGAAAAAAAAATCAGAATCGAATCAACATTTCTTTACATTCGTACGTATGCGATGACCATTATTATATCGTATTTTTAATGTGATAAATAAACTCATCATAGATACCGGGATAAAAATGTTGTACGCCAGACGCGCGTGATACCCGACTCTTGAATCATTTAAATTATTAGTCTCGATTACCCGGACGCATATATAAGAATAGCGTCTACTTTGAAAAATTAAGCGGCTGGATGATCGAGACTATCAAATCATCTTCTTTTGACCAGAAAAAAAATCAATACGTCACGTAAAGTAGCTGAATAAGAACTATCTTTTTTGATTATATCATTGTTCAATGAGACATTTTTTTTAATTTGGAACATATAACCATGGCAAGTTGGTCAAATTGTAATCAATTATGAATTAGAATATTCTTAATTTATGAATGGAAATGTATAAAGATGGTAATTATGTACATCCCCATTGCTCCTGAAAAGGCCCCTAGCGTACTGTAATTGCGTGAAAATACTATATTACTTTTTTAAGCATGAGTGAACATACGTTGATTTCGCAAGAGAAATGCTAAAAAACAGTTTAAGCCAACCCAGACGACAAGTTCCTGACGAAAGACACGATATTTGTATGGTGTATTTGATATCTGACTTAATATAATAGCCTACTCGATTTTTTTTATCCGCCCATTCTAACTTAAAAACATGATTTTTTTTTGCCACGGAATTATAATATGTCTTTTCGTTATTTATGTCGCAGAGATGACGTCTCATTGATATATAGCGATATCTCATCTCCTCTAATAATATTCCTCAGCAATGTAAACCCTAGATACTGTACATAAACTGTATAGTTTTTCCTACAACGAAAAATATTTAAAAAAAATACGAACCGCGAATTTGTTTACCAGCAAAGTTAATTTGTCACATAAACGACCGGATTCAAATGCTTCTTGAATGATACTACCACGAATTAAATTTTGATAGCATGATATTTAAATGTTTATCTGATCATTCGATGGGACTTCACATTTGCTTCTTGCAAAAAAAATATGTAGTCCAGAGGAACAAAACGATATTTATTAAGGTCCAGGGTTTTTATTATAAAAAAAAATCTTAGGATGAAAATTGATCGTAGGCTACTCAAATATTTCAACTCGCTCGAATAGATTTTTCGTATTTCTTTTAATAAGCTACATAGCTTAAAGGGGCATTAACTGTCAAATTCATGTTCACCAATTTGATCCAAATTCTCGTATTTTATTGATGACATATCCAAATTACAAAAAGTCCAAAATAAACAACAAACAATGCATGGATTCGCTGTAATGTATCAGCATTTCGTGAATATTTTAGTCTAGACGCCATCTAATTATCCATGGAGATGACATTCGAAGACAGCCGATTGTCATATAACCCGATATAAACATAAATGTAAATATAAATTTACAGACAATCACGTGAAACTGTATGAAGATGATTTTTCTAGGTCTGTTTGAATTCATGTTATAGGTTAAAAATATATTTGTTAATCATCGTTTTACATGTATAAGAATGATTTTTTTGAGGGCCAGATCAGTCAACGAAATGGTTACTCCTGACGTCTCTTTTGTTTTACTTTACTTTTTTATGTTGACATGCTTTTTTTAATGAATAAACATGCTGACCACATGCTGTCAGAACACATGCGCAACCCATCTCACTAAATGTCAAATAGAGGTCACATGGGTACTTGTGTTGAATTATTGACTTGTAAGCCAATACTACGTCAGCGATGTTTTTTTAGCTTATTTTGACAAAGTTGAACCAAACTGACTGCTAATAGCGAAATTATTTATTATATTCCGCTTTTATAAATGTTTGGAAGACTTTTGTTTTTGTTTTATTCGTAGCTAATGTCCCTTTAAGTATCGTGCAAAGAAAAACATATAAAGTTTTTCTCTCTCGATTACGTGATTATATCACCTCTGAATATACTTATTCTTTCAAAACAAACTTTTTGGTGCGATTATATAAGTCATATCTAAAACAAATTCCTGTAATATTTTATGCCCAAACTTTTATTTTAATATGGAAATTTGTAAACATACCTGTGAAAATATTTGTATATTTAACTAATATGCAATGTAACATTTTAACAAATAAATAAACTATGTTCTTTCATTGTAAATGAAAGAACACCTTTAAATTTTGTGCGTCCGAAGCGTCAAGAAAATGACATTTATTGCTGTCGACCACCATTCATCCTTTAATTCGTATTTTTATTTTGTAAATTAATCTACGAACAACTTTATACTTATACACATTCATCTTTTTAAAAGCATTAGTAAAGCCTTGTTATTAATATCATGTTAATTTTAAACTTTAAATTTTTCTGCATTTTGATAAAAACTAATTTTTCTTAATCAATCCTTTGCCACCACTAAAGGTATATAAAAAGTAGTTTGAAAAGATAACGCCTATCTCGTTTCATCAAATAAAGAGGTATGAAACAGCTGAATTTGTAAGTATGGTATAAAAGAGAGGCGACAGATACGCAAGGGACATTCAAACTCATAAGTCAAAAATAAACTGACAACGCCATGGCTGAAAAAGAAAAAGACCAACAGACAAAACAGTACACAAAACACGACATAGAAAAGTAAAGACTGAGCAACACGAACCTTACCAAAAACCCGGGGGTGATCTCAGGTGCTTCGGAAGGGTAAGCAGATCCTCTTCTTCTTCTTCTACCATATAGCGACCGCCTTCAATTAATTGAAGATTATGTCACAGGAGGATAACTTACAACAAGACATAGATTAATATTATACAAATTAAAAAATAGCGGAAAATGAAGATACAAATGTACAATTAGTTGTTGTGAATAGTTGACTGATTTTATTGATGTTTTAAAATTGAAGATATAAAAGAGTTTACTGATCCTGCTCCATGTTTGGTACACGGCGTGTTACTTATGCAAGTACAAACCCGGTGATGAGTCTTATTCGGTAAGTCACATTCGGGGAAAAGGGGACAGAATTTTAGTAACAACAATTGGAACATATCCGTCGTCATCTGTAACGGTCAAACAACTCGTGATGGCGTCCGTAAGATTAACGAAGGGATGATTTCAACTTCGACACTTGGAACTCTTGATTTAATAGCTTCCTTGTGAGAAGCAACCCTCTATCAAGGAAATCATGATCAGAAATGCAAGCCCTGGAATATCGTATCAACCGGGAGATATATACTCCGTATGCAGGCGCTGCTGGAATGCTGTTACATAGATATGGAAAGTTCACAATTGGGGAGCTGAAATCATCTCTTTTGTCGTAAAGTTTTGTTTTCAACCGCCCCTCATTGTCAATTTCTAGATATAAGTCAAGATATGAGGAAGACTTAACGGTATCTGTTGTATCCTTTATCTCAAGTTCGATGGGATAGATGCGATTAACATAGTCACCAAGTTTTGAATTATTTAGTGAAAGAACATCATCTACAAAAATGTATATAGCGGAAAGTGAAGGTAAAGGATACTGCTAACTTCTTTTCTTTCTTCCTAAGAAGTTCGGAACTTTCTGTATGAAGTCAGCCTCATATGAATAAAGGAACAAGTCGACAAGAAGAGGAGCACAATTGGTTACCACGGGAATGCCGATTGTGTGTTGAAAAAACACGTCCTTCAAACGTAACTGCTCCAACAAAGTTATGAGGAGGACAGATTAAAATTGACACTCCGTAAATTTTACGGACACCATCACCAATTGGTTGATCCATACGATGTGTCTTTGTCAAAACTAACTAAGGACATTTTTACCCCGTGTTAGATTGTGGTTTGTCATTACGTCGTCTGATCTTTTAATTACCGAACGTGACTTATTCCCGATTGTGACTGTTTTGCTGAGTGTGAAACCGCATTGCTTTAAGACGTGTCACGGTACCTTTCTATCCCAAATTCATGTATTTAATTTTGATGTTATATTTGTTGTTCTAGTCGGATTTTGTCAAATGTCTTAACGTATTTTCTGTTATATTCGTGTGTTATGGTATAGATAATTAATCACCCCCTTCATTTATTAGATTTTAGTTTTAATTTTAAATTTATACGATATATTTGGTTTACAGTTTGATTCAGAAGAAACACCGACATAGCTAGATAATACAATTAATTATCTAATTACCACCACAATTTGATATTAATAAGTATTGTAATTTTCATTGTTATTAATAAATGTAATGGCAGTATTACAAATCTATCTTGAATCAATCCTAATCCTATCTTATTTTTGGGAAATATTTTTACAAATTCATATGTGACGTCACTTTGTATGTTTTTTTGGAATTTCAAATGTGACGTCACTTTGTGCGTTGAGGCTTTAGCTAACTCGGCTGTGTATTTTTATATGTTGGATTCAGTTGTTTTATGTAATGTATCCGTTTTTATTCTGTAGTTAGTCCCCACTTTGGTTTTATCATGTATAT